GAAGAAGTATTATCGAACTCTACTTGCTCCCCTGCCTTTTCTGGAAACTTGAGGGCTTAGCGGAGGAAAGGCGATTAACTCAGTCCAAATAGGCTCTTAGCTACTTGTCTAATAAGCTTTTATTTCCAMAACTTTTTAGAATGTACACTTGTGAAAAATAGTCATCTGCAAAGTGAGAACAGAATAGATTTTTCCTGGTTTCCTTGTAATAGAGAATAGGAGAAATTGGTAGCCTGGTGCTAGAGAAGTTGTTGTGCCCTTCGAACGGAAAAAAAAATGCTAAAAAAAATGTAAATAACAGTAGGAATAGATGGTAATTTTTGATGAAAATTGCCAACAAGGGAGTTTTCTCTTGGTTGACACATTTAAAAACTATTTAGAAAATATGGTGCTATAGAGATGAAAACATTTGTTGAAGATACAACATTATTGAGCATGAGCACATCGGTATCTGCCTGTAATGAGTGACAGAAGGAGTCACAAAACTGCCTGTTTCATGGAAGGGCAGGTACAAATCAGTATCAGGAAGCCGAATCGTGTCTATAGCATGACTATATATGCATGGGAGGAGCTGCAAATTAGCCAGGAAGCCAAAATGTACCTATATCGTGACTGTATAGGCGTAGGAGGAGCTGCAAATTAGCCATTGCCACTGAAGAGGTAGAGCTAAGTGTCACTGGTTTGCTCCCTTTAGAGAAGTGTGTATAGTGGCAGTCAGAAAGGTAAGAAAAAAAATAGGAATTGTTAAAAAAAAAGATTTAAAAAAGAGAAAATATGAGTATGCTGAGTTTGCATCCACTTATTGAGGATCACCCACACAGCCTGCTTTTAAAGGGATATAATAATACTAGAATATATAGAGAGAGCAGTGACAAGGAGATGCTCAGAGATGAGCAACATGTTTTTGCCATGCATAATTAAACAGATAAGTATTTAGCGTGACTGAAAGAAAATATGAAAAGATTTTTAAAATCATGAATGTTATGTGAAACAGGAACAGAGAATGATTTTTCATAAGCCCTCATACTCATTAGGAAGTGGATAATGAAAAAAAATCCCATATGTCATGCTCAAAACAGTTCCATGGGCTTGCTTCTCCTGCAGAGTGCAGTTAAACCGTGGAATTCCTTCTCACAGGATGTTGAGCTGGCCTAAAGCATGAGGGGCCTGGAAAAGAAGCACAGGTGCAGGTGTGCATTAGAACTACTGCAGGCACGTGGCTGTAATAGCACAGGGTTTCAGCTTCCACATCTTTGTAGATAATTTTAAAAATAAATTTTCACAATGATTTTCAGTAATGAACGTCATAGACTTTACGGGGACAAGGTTCTTACTTTTGCACACTGAGCCAAAATGTCTATTTGCTGATTCAGAAATGTCTGTGGAATTTTCAAGGTCTGTATGATTTCAAAAGGATCCATTTCCTGTGGAGCCAGTCATCGTACGCCGTTATAAACAAGCAGAAATGCAAAGCTTGGCGCGAGTCCACAGCGTCAAGCTAGTGCTGTGTGTCATTCTCCTGGGGTTTTCCCATGTTGTGAGATAACATAAGAAATGCAGCCATTTTCAAAATGGGAAAGAAGGCATTAGAAAGAATAAAGTAAAACAAAGATATAGCTGCCGTCAACTGATACATGACCAGGATGTTTGTATAGTTGACATTCACCACAGAAAGAAAAATGAGGGCCAGCAAACCGCTCTTTGTATTCTCTGCATTCTTTTAAGGAAGAGTTAGAAATATTTTCTAGGGACTTTCCAGTATTTCTTTCAGTGTCTTTCTATACTTTTTCAGCATTTGCTTATCGGAGAGCAAGGTAATTTTGTTACTCTAACAGTGTAATTGAAACCCAGGGGAACAAGCTGCAGTTGCCAGCTCAGAGAGCTCACGATGCAAGGACGCAACTGCAGCAAGCAGCCTGCAAAGATGGAGCTCTGGAGCCATGGAAGTGGCATGAAGTGGCTCTTCTGATGCTAGTCTGCTGTTTTCACTCTTGCTCTTGAGCTGAGATGCTTGGTGAAAGGAGGAAGTGAAAGTGGTTAGAAAGGGAGATGAAATAAAGCACCAGGAAAGGAGCTGAGGAGAGGCAGACGGTGCTGACACGTGCGTTACGTGTAGTGACCGGAATGGCAGGAGARGAATGAATGGGGATGACTGCAGATGGCCACTGTACCGTGACTTGGCTTTTGCTACAGTGTAGATGCAGAATGAGCTTGGATGCAGTTGGGAAATTGGGATGACAAACACAATTATAGAGACAACCGTGGTGACATCTGTGAGGTCTTTAATTATGGTGCAAATATCCTGACTTTTCTCAGGTTCTGGTCAATATATTGCACACACACATGCACATACATACAAATATTTAAATTGATTAACACCTATATGTTCTCAAAAATAGCAATTTTTTTTTCTTTTTTCTTTTTGTATGGCTTCTACATGACCTGGTATTGGGATGCTTATGTGGCGCACTGTACAGCTCAGGTGTTCAAGCAGCTGAACACCTCATATTGAGGCAAAACTATTATGGGCTGTCATATTTTATGATCATAGAGTTATTCAGAAGAAATTGTTTTGCTGTTTTAAAAATATCTAGTTCATAGGAGAGGTGAAATAATGCATGTGTCAAATAAACAGGTAATGGCTGCTTTAAGACTGCTGGGGCAGTGATGCAGCAGGCTTGTCTCTGTACCTCCTGAGCCTTTGCCTTGCTACACAAACGTTTGGTTCAGCTCAAATAAACATGTCCTGATTGGTAGGGATTCAGCTCGCGTTAAACTGCTTTTGTGTCTGGTACAGAGCAGGGACCTGATCAACTTTTCCTGTATGAAAAGTTACTTCTTACTGGGGCTGTAGTGCRGGCAGCTTTTGCATATTCTGTGTTGCTATATGAATATTCCCTTTTTGTGTGGAAATGTGAATAGTTGCAACAAGAGGAAGGACATGTGGAGCAGCCAATCAGATCTCCCTTACATATGGATTGGAGTGACTGTTCCAAATCAAAAAGCGCAAGGCATCCAAAGCATTCAGTACTTCTCTGGCATTCCTTGTTTCTCCTAACCAGGAGGAAATCCTGCAAAATGTGAGGCCCTTTCCTCTCCCAAGGGAAGCTGCAGGTTGTTACTCTTATGGCATTCTGCTCTTCATTATGAAATGGGCAGAGGTGAGCGATGGGTCAGAAAAGAGCAGCATTTGCTCTGCGCTGGTGGTAACTGTGATGCCAACCCAGTTKTGCTGCAGTGATATGAATGAGGAGGTCTGTTCTGTAAGTTCCTGCATCCTGCCTTTCACTCCAGCAAGTGACAATGAAGAAGAGAGAAAAGCATAAACAGGTTGTTTCCAAATCAACTAAACCTGATATCTTTATTCACAAGTGCCAGATTCACCAGAACATGGACCATACAAAATGCCCTCTGCGCCACTGCCACAGTCCATCTAACTCCCCCCAGGTGGTGGCCAGCAAGRACTGTAGTCAACCCTGCACCCCTAGCCTCTGTACTCCCTTGTACTCTCTGTAGGTCCTGGGCATGAGGGAAGAACATCACCAGCTATTCCTTTCAGGAAGTGATCCCATCTGCTAGATTCAGGTGTGCCTCAGTGTTGCTCTGCAGGCTGAGTGTTTCCCTTTCAAATGGGCTGAGCATCAGCCCCTGCAAGCAAGAGGCTCGAGTATCCCAGCCTTTCAAAAAAGGAAGCCCTGCTGTCCTCAGCCGTTCGGGGTGGAAGCAGCTGCTGCACAAGGCCAAATGTTTGTTATTTGGGCACCAAAATTGCAGGGCACAAATTCCTGTCTTGGCAGCCAGAGGGTGGCCTCTTGATTCATTAGAGAGTTAGAGCTCTAAGGCTGGTCTGGAAACCTGCAGTGTTTAGGCATCTGAGGGTGAAACCCTCTTCTATGTAGGAAACTTAATTAAGCAGCCTCACCCTGTAGCCCTTACAAAGGACTAAGGACTGGGATTAGCCTGGGTATAGGAGCCACTGTTTGCCGTTGGCTCTGCCCAGAGCTCAGAGGTCACAGCTATGTTCACTAACGTCAGCTTCTCATAACAGGGCGAGTTAGGCTCTCCAGTCCGTGCTCTGTTCTGCAACATTTCAGCTGCAGAAATTTGGCTTAGATTGCGAAAATGAAGCAAATGGTTTCCAAATAGAGCAAGTAAAGCATAAAATAACAAACAGATAACAGAGATYTTATGTAGAAAAATTTATTAGTATATTGGTAGGAATAAGAACRTTCTCACAAGCAAATTCTGGCTGGGTATGTAAGCTTCAGCTTTTTCCATGAGCTGTATGACAAACTAGATGTAGAACTAACTCTTATACAAAACAATGTAACTGTGAACTGTTACACACACATTCTTTACAAATTTGTGTTAGGAATGGAGAAAAAAATGCAGTAGAAATGAAATAAATTAACAGCTTTTTTTTGTTTATCATATAGATATTATTAAATAAATGTAATAGTAAAATACAATAAATAAATAGCAGAAACACTGCCTTACAGATTCTGTAGACTATCTTTCTGAAGTCACAGCTAACAGCCTACAGGCTGGCTGTGACTAAGCAAACTGTTGTTGACACAACATACGGGTGCACTCCGGGGGAGCAGGAGGACTTTTCAAGTCACTGATGTAGTAGCAAAGTGGTTAGGCTCAGTATAAATAAGCAGTCCTGCAAGTGCATTGCACTTAACCAGCTGGGTTTGGCTGAAGTGGCTTCCAAAGGATCTTCATTTCCTTTAGCAAACCACTTCTCTTATCCAGTAGCTTCACTTTCAGAGAACAGTGTTTTCCAAAGCCAACTTTGAACATTCTGAGACACTTCCTTAAATACATGCAGTTAAATAAATAAATAAATAAATAGAGTGCTCTACAGTTCGTTTAGAAACAGCGAGGCAAGAGGTAGTAGGTGGGATGCTGCCTGAGAGCCGATTGACACTTCCCTAAGCTGTTTCTCTCCGTGGAGGAGTGGGAGCAGTTCCATGATTCTTCTGCCTCAGCTTTTCTCAGAGCAGTGTGTCGGAATTGGATTGAGCCCTGGTAAGAGTTGAGGGAAGAAAATCATTTAGAAGGTTTCCAGAACAATCATCGTTGCTTAGCATTATATGAGCAGATAAGCATGAGTGGTCTGTTTCTAAGCTGTTTGCTGTTCTGAGGTATAGAGAAAATAAAGACAATGGTTCTGAAGTAGCTCCTGAGATCGGGGTTTATATAACTGGGCTTCAAGCTAGGAGACTTCTGTAGCCTGAGAACCGAGAACTTCATAAACTTGGAAATAGGAATTATTAATATATAGTACTGCAAACAAGGGGAGAGTGATTTTTAAAAGCATCACTTTGCAACTGGAGCCAAATGTTTCCATGTGCCTTAGCCTCCAGATGGAGATAACTAGTACTCAAATCTTGGCTAATGGCACATCAATTTCAGGAGCAGCTTGAGAACAAGGAGCCCCCAGCAGAATCAGAAACAACCTAATCCTATAACTAACCAAGAAGTCTCCTTGTTCTTTAAAGAGAAAATGGAAACTTTTGCTAGGAAAACCAAGAAAGCTGGCTTTTGCGGGGAGGTTTCCCACTCATCTTCCCTAAACGAGAGTGGATGGATGGGACTTACTTGGCCAAGAGAGCCCTTATGATCAGCTGAACCCAGGGAGCGGTGGGCTCCAAACACACTTCTTTGCCATTCTTCAGAGTAGCACTGCAAAATAAAGAAAAAACAGAGGTTAAGCACCTACTAGGGAGATTGGTTTTATTCTCATAATGGAATGCTGCATTTTTAGATRTACTAACTTAGTATAAATAAACCTCACCCAGCTCTACATCAGAACCTGCCCTAATATTTTGTTACACATGTTCCATAGCTAAGAAAGTAAGATCAAAGACAAGTTGTGTGAGTTTTCGTGCCTACACTTGAATCACATTCCCCAAATTGTTTCTCCATATATATAGGTACTATATCCTGTTTTGTTTACACTGGTGCAGATTTTTTAAAGAAAGGTTGAAACTTCTCAGATAAAAAGGAATTTTGATAGCATGAATATTTTAGTTTCTGTTTTATGTACTTCAAGACCAGACTGGTCTCAGTATTTCTCTAAATCCACTCATTTCTAAACTTATCTTTCTGAGATTGTTACAAAACTGTTTTGGTGGGAGTTTTACCTGCCAGTATAAACTGAATTGTCACCTTGCGTATCAAAAACTGACCGCTCCTTGTATTCACATTCTGCCACTTTAGAATAACTATTTAATATGCCCCATGATAAGTAAGTAGGAGAGATGAAGACTATAAAAGCAAGTGACTCAGGCTAGCTCGTGTCAGCCTGCTAGCTCCCTTGCTTCTGGTGGCACCCAACAGTCCCTGCAGCTGCAGGAGCATTAACCGAGCGACAGGCTCTTGCAAAGGTACTTACATGACTTCCACGTTCTGGCAGTGCGGTCCGCTTTGTGTCAGCTTCACATCTTGGATGAATTTAGGGTTGATGAACTTGGAATGAGTGTCTGTGCACTGGCACCGAAGCTCGTTTCCCATCCTTGCCAGGGCCCTGCCTTTGAGAAGAGGTAAATTGTCATTTGTGAGGCATTCTTAGCAGCTGCATATCTGACATTAAGCACGACTACTCCCTTTTCACATTGCTCCAGGTTAAAACTTTGCTGCTTAAGTCCTCACAGTATTAAAATTAGTTTCTTACTTTTTAAGACAAGCCAATATAGATATGAAAATAAATTCACATGTCTTTAAAATGAAACTATATATGATTTTTGGTTACTTCTGAAATTGCATCATTCAAAACCTGGATTAACACACTAGCAACTATAAAGAGGATAAGAGGCCTTTATTGTTCCAGTAATTTGAGGTGTGTCTATGCTTGTATGTTCATCCTGTTTGCTCTCCCTTCCCAGCTGTACTTGAGGCAATAGAATCATGAATTAAGAAAGATGAGATCCTCAACCAGAAAATGCCGTCCTTTGTGTAGCAAGGTAAAGAAATAGTTGAACACTGTACAAAGCAGACAGTGCCCTTGGCCAGACATGCACTAAGTGAAGGACGCTAACAGTGCAGACAGGAACTTTAGCGTCCTTAAAATATTTTCCACAGGACAAAGGCTACGTGGTAAATTTCTGACCCAAGAGAAGCTGCTGAAAATATTTCAAAGTAACTTGCTAAAGCAAGCATAAAAATATCTGTCTGAAAGGATGCACACACTGGAAAAGGGCTAAACAGAGCTAGAGTTATGTGGAAAGGATTTGCTTACCTTGAGACACAGCTGCGGAGATCAGGAGAAGAGCCAGGACAGCCACAAGTTTGCCGTTCATGGTTACACAAGGCTTTGGTCCTCGATTATTCAGCTCGGATGCTCTGGAGCAGTGAGATCTCTTGTCTCAGAGGAATGCTGGTGTCTGAGCTGGGCAACCCATATCCCTTATATACTGTTTTGGGGCGAAGCTGTGGCCTCTGCTACAGGGAGATTGCGTTAGAGGAATTTCCCGCATGCAGCAAGAGTGAGTCACATGACTGTTGTGACACCCTTTCCTAGATGACTGCAGAAATATTTATCCTGCAAATGAACTAATTTATTATTTTATTAAAATATGTCAGTAACATCTGTGCAGCGGGATTTCTTTTGTAAACTTTTGTAAGCTTGGGAGTTTTATACTGCATTCGCTTATTTGGTAGTAAAATCTTAGCATGGTTTTGAGGACGTTTATAACTTTTTGGGTGCCTGTCTTCAGGGTAATACTTGTATTTCGTGGGCATGCCAGGCCTGTGTTGGAGATATATAATTTCTTTTCTCTGTTTATGGTGATGATTCCACTTATAAGAAATGAAGCAAATGGAAGGAAAACCAGGCAGTGCTGAAGTCAGCAAAAACTTTGGCTTTTTCCCTGGAATCAGGATTTTTCCTTAGCATTATTTTAATGTTACCGATTTTTTTTTCCTGTTGAAATAGCATTTTATGAAGTAAATTGATCTCTAAGTTGTTCCATTCGGCAAAGGAATGGAGACTATAATATCCAAGGCTTTCTGGGAGGTAGAGATACTTAATTATGAGCAAATGTTAAAATCACTTCTGCATTTTTCACGTCATACATTTTGAGGAGTAAGAAATAGAAGCTTTGTCTGCAAGCAAAATGCTAGGACATACTCAAAGCAACTGCTTTTGTTTGCTTTAGGTATGTTAGATAATGTTTTACTGTTACAATAACCCTATGTTTTAACAAAGGGAGATAGCGATAAATATTGTGGTATTTTCTATTAAGGAACCTTGCTGCATGAGTGCTCTGTATTTATCTGCTAGTAGAAATATTATCTT